GTACAAACATCACTAATGTCACATGACTTTGCCAACATGTGGCCAACAGTAATGTTTTAATGTTCTTCGTTATTAAACATTTGCACATAAATAAGTGACATCGTATTCAGTACTTACTTTTGACAGTTCACTCTTCGGCTGCTCCCTTCTGCCGCAAAATTGCAGCAAAATTATCCACACCCACCGCTGCGCTATGAATTGTGTGATATATGGGACCACGAAGTGTGCACCGGACCACGTTTGATATTTGGGGAAATCGACGGTGCATTTGGAGTACACTTCGAATTGGGACAGCCGTCGTTGCATGGCGGTGACGTAATCGCACTTAAAATGCGTACTTCAAGCGTGCAGTCTCTGAATTGGGACACAGCCTGAGAGTCCACCAACATACAACACACCAGTATGAAGGGCAGCCTGCTGATGTGAAGCCCCAAAGTGGACCGCCTGTACTTGAGAACTGTATTTACAGCTGTAGTTTTCTGAGAAGTCAACATGTATCAAAGTCTCCTCCCCTGACATGCTGTTCTTCAGCTCACGGCAGAAGGCATACTGCTGCTTGAAGTGATGCATTTGAAATTTCTTTACAAAGCTGTGGAAGAGCTCAATGAGGTCCTCTTGTGTGCCCTCCACAGATTTCTTGGCTGTCACCTTGACAGTGTCCCTCATCTCTCACGCTCACTCTGCAGGTTTCTCTCCCTTCTTTCAGGATCAGCTTTAAGGCGTTCCCGATACTTCTTTTGCCTTTCTGCTGCTGTTGTTGGTGCCATCTTACTCGCATCCTTAACATGGAACATAAATCACATTCAGCATGCATGCAGTATAAGAATGGTGATTGAATATAATAATAATTGATTTAAATAATTGGATAACTTAACAACCAAAGTATTAAACTCTCAACCCCATAACAATCTCACAACCGCGTTACAATCAAAAACATAACAGGGTTGAGATTTTTGCACAAACTGGCCGCTGCTCAATGTAGTGAATACCAGACAGAGAGCACATGGCATGCATGAAATTCAAAATCACCATATATTCAGGAACTAACAAAAAACTTTTCATAAGTAATAGTTTTCTTTTTTTCATGTTACAGTGTTGAGTCATTGAGGTTGACGACCACAATATCACAAGATAAATGACTAAAATAAAGGAAAAGAATGGAGCAACTTGCCTGTCTCTGGTCCTGTTGTCCAAAAGACTTCAGTGATGTCACTTCCTGATGTATACGAATTCTGGATCACACCATTGTATTTATGGGGGTGGGATCATTCATGTGACGGGGTTGAAGGGTTAGTCAGGTACAGGAATAATTGTGATTTTATTGAATAATTAACAATTAAATTTGAAAAAAAGAAATATTAACAGCAAAAGAGCACAAACAGATGTTTAGGTTGATACCAAAATTTATTGACTTTTTAAATAGTTTTATTTGTAAACTTTCATCAAGGCCACGAGGGACATGACAAAATAGGTGGTGTCAAATGAAAAAACTGTATTATTTCCCATAAAAAAGATCAAAATTAGTTCAGTTTTTTTACACTGTATTAAATGGTACATTTCAATATATATGTAAAGCTGTTTAAACAGAAAGTTTGGTGACCCAATAGATGAAATACACCATAAGAGGTGAGAGGGACTCAAATTGTGCCATTTTCATGGAATGACTCGACTACATGACAACCTATGACTCAATGGCCCACACATGAATCAACTTTATTTAGTTATTTATTTAATTTTGTACTTTTTTGATATTATTAGGGTGATTTAAGTTTAACGAGTAAATTCTGAGTTCATTCTTGCCACGTCTCTGACGTCAGCTGCAAGGCTCTTAAATATAACAAAGTATTTGTATTTCTTTACCACTAACCTCTGGAAATTATATTACAATACTGTTCAAGAGTTTTGCGCTGTGTTGTAAATTAGTCTCCATGAAAAATGTGCCAATAAGGGCATCATTTGCAGAAAACGTCCATTTGAAATCAAAACTGAGTGTCACGATACGGACTGTGTTGTGACAGCTGAAACACGCAAGCGAAGCGTCGTTCGGAGGATTCCTACGGACCGTGAACGCAGCACTGGACTCAGCCCTCCCATCCACCCTCTGTATCGATGTAGTTGTTTCAAAGATGGCGGACTTCCTGCCGTCCCGCTCCGTTTTATCTGCATTTTTCCCCAACTGCCTCCTTACAAGGGGCGAGGCAGAGCAGCTGCGGAAATCCAAAGAGATAGATAAGTGTATTCATCGAGACAAGACTTATGTTAAAAGGCTTGTAAAGATCTTATTGCTCGGGGCGGGAGAAAGCGGCAAGTCCACTTTCCTCAAGCAAATGCGTATTATTCATGGGCAGGACTTCGATCAGAAGGCCAAAGAAGAATTCAGGGCTACGATTTTTAGTAATGTTATTAAAGGTAAGCCGACATTATACCGACTGCTTTTCACATATTGAAACAGGTTTGTTCCGACGTGTGTAGAGATGGGGCTGTAGGAGCAGCCAGTGGGAAGTTGCTAGCTTCTGTTCAGCCGATTTTCTGTGTTCGACCAAGCTAGTCTGGTTAGCTTGTTGAGTAGCCAAGAAACGCCTCTGCTGCTTGTGTGTGCATGGTGGATCTGAATGCAGCACTTGATCGTCTGTGATTAGTAAAAGCTTCGCCGATATTTACGTATGATTTCTGCTCTTGTTCAGTCAAAACATGCAGACTGGTTCGTCTTTATGGACAAAGTTGAGGAAAAGGGAACCAGTTTATTTGGAGTGCACTGGGTGTGTTGTTTATTACTTTTAAGCCTCTAAGTGTTACATAATCGCTCTGTAGCGATGTCTTTTTGCGAACCAGGCCAGTTTTTCATTGCTTTGCGATAAAAGAGCAGATGCGAGCATGCTGTATTATGGGAAGTGTTGCCTTGTGTGGTTTGTCATGAAAGTTTTTGTAGGAAGTGCAGGGCCACCCATGCGAGAGCTGCCGTTTTGTTCCAGCTTAACTGGTTTTCATGGTTTCTGGGGATGTTTGCCAACATTTCAACTGGGCTTAACAGATATTTCTAGTCGCAGAATAATCATATTTATGACATTTTATAAGTGAAAATGGACGTTTGTTTTTGTTGTTGAATTTGAATATAAATATTAAGTCATTTTTTTTGTAATCAAATATTGAAGTAAACCGATGTCCAGATTCTAATTGTTGGCCAAAATAGTCAGCAGTTTACAGATGCAGTTATTCATTGGGACTTCCTATAGATAATTGATGAATAAATTAAAACATATCAGATAAAACTAATCTATGGTATGAAGGACCATTCATGTCTCTTTAAACATTGTTGAATAACTGAAATCTCACAACCTGCAACCTAACAGGAAAGGAAAAACCAGCTGTTTGTGGAGAAGCACAGCAAACCGTGACCGACAGTTGCACAGCAAACAATCGTCAAAGGCATCTGGTAGAGTGAGGCACGTCTGTGGCGCTATGCTCATCACAGCACCATACTTTAAATCATCTAGGTTACTGTTAGCTGAGCTGACATAATTCTGCCCCGTACACAAGGAGGTTTTCTAGTTTTATTCAGTGACGTCTTCAAACTGGTCAAACTTGAGACACAGTTGCAGGCACTGGAGCTCCGAGTGCTCCGAACCTGTGGTTTCACACGTGTTTCACGTTGATACAGATCATACGTTGATTTCAGGGTTTTTCCAGAAAAAAACAGCATTAACTAAGCCTACTTTAAAGAATGATACCGTCCTACTTCCTTAACGTTTCGTCAACATTGAAGGATTCTTATGACCTGCAGCACATTTCCTCTTTCTACCGTCACTCTAACAATTGCTGACAGATGGCATATAAATCTTTTCAGGGTGGGACTCTCACCATGAACTTTGGGAGTGATTCCTTTAGATTTCTTAGAGCAACTTTCTTATAACAGAGATGAGCAATTTCATCCTGGATGGCGAAATATCGAAATTTGTCAATCCCACCATGATTTCACGAAAACTCGCTTTGCAATTTAACGTCACCGCTGTCTTTACACTGAACGAAGATAACTGATCTGACCAAATCCGTCAGACGAGTTCCTAAAAATACAAGATCTGAAAATATCACCAAAATTATACATAGAGTTAAAAATGGCTGACTTCATGTTGTTGGTTCTTTTTGTTGAGACTTTTTACGCCCTGTTGTCTTACAGGCTGCCAAATGTCAGACTCATAGATGAAACGTAGTGCAGTGGCTGCTTTTTGAAATTTTGTAGGTGGTGCTTGGAGACAGTGTGCAATAGGGCTGCCACGATTAGTCGACTACTCACGATTACGGCGACTAACAAAATCATCACGACTGATTTAATAGTCGACGCGTCGTTTGAAGCTTTGTAAGATCCCAAAAGA